ATATATGCAAGTTATGAAATGCACCTGTCATCACTTAAATTTAGCAGCTGAAAAAAGGGTCAGCTTCTTTGCCAATAAGTGTGGATGACCACCTTGTTGATATTTATTATTTGTTATCTTGAAAGATTGCTAAAAGGAAGAGAAAACTGAAACAGCTCCAATATCTGTATAATATTGAAATAAAAAATCTGAATTATGTATATACACACTGGTTAACTTTAGAGAAATGTTTTTCTAGAATTCTCGACCAACGGAACCCATTACTTACATTTTTTAAGGAAGGAGTAAATTGCTTCTAGATTTTAGATAAAAAACTCTGTTGAAAGTTATAAAATACCTAGTAAATGGAGGTGTAGTTATTAATTCCACTGTTAAAAATAGGTGCAAGGAAGTCAAGTAATTTCTGCATCGGTGAGCAGTTTAATTGGAAATTCTCAAAATAATACTACGAAAGATAAATGTAAAGCTCTCGCAAAACAAAGTTATCCCAAAATTTTTAAAAAAATAAGACTTGACAAAGGACACATTTTCTGATTATTATTACAAAGTTTATCTTGTAAAGATTGAATATTTTTATTTTTGTCTTTGAATTTTAATAGCTTTTTGCTCCTTTATATGCTCCATTTTGCCATCATTCTATGTTCGTATCACATTTCTACAGGGCAGAATTAGATTAATTCATGTTTTGCAGTCAATGATTAGTGATGTGGTTGAAGTATTTATTATTTAATGATTAGGGAAACTAGAGTATTTTTCTATTTTAGAAGGTACACGTGATAAAAATGTCTTCCTTTTCTTCTTCTTCTTCTTCTTTTTTTTTTTTTTTTTTTTTTACATCTGAGTATTTTTGCATTTAAGAAATAATAACTGAATTTTCAAATATTAATTTGATACTAGTTAAATTCATTATTAAAAATATTTTTTCTTTGTACGTATTTTTATTATTTAAAAAATATTTTTGTTGTTGAGAAAATTCTTATTTGAGTGTTGTAGGTTGGCAAGTATATACACCATTTGCTTGCTGTAATAAACTGTAGTCCAGGCTTTCTGAAATTAAAAGTGAAGAACTTGAAATATAAAAGATGGAAACAATCCAAAGCATAATAGAACTCCATATAATAATCCTAAAAGTCCCTAAGTAGTAGCAAAAAAAGAATTAAAAAAGGGATTCGAAAGGATATGGGAATGTTTATACCATGTGGTGAGTTAAAAAGCCAAGATCTGTTAGTTTACATTAAGCTTTCCCTCCTCTCTTGTACCAGCTGACACCAAAGTTATGTGGAATGTAAACAAACTGAAGGTCAAGATCCTAAAACTATTTTTAATTCAAAATTAACAGACATTGGATATCATATAGTGATACTTTAAAAAATGGTTCAGCTTAAAATGCACATATGCATCAGCCATTCCATGAGCTCACTCTCCAGTGATGCATAGGTAGGATGCTGGCTGTGAGAAATGTTTGTAGGGAATGCACATGTGAGATGCCCATCCAGAAAGGGTTAAACCACTGGGAGAATAATATGATATGCGATGTTATTGTTGAAAATTGTCATTATTCTTTGTTCCATATTTCTAAGGCTTGGAAAAAAAAATATTTCCTAAATTTCATGATTTACTTATTTTAAATGCAGATTGCTCTTCACTTAAGCATGTGCTGTAAACATTTTAAGTATTGTATTTATTCGAGTATTCCCCCCTTTTATTTCTAATTTTTAAAACTTTGAACATCAAGATTGAAAAAATAAACAGTGTACAACACCTATTTGTACACTGTGTATATACAATAGCTATTTCTGAAAAGATGGCTTAAATGATAAACATATACATTAAAAAGCACATATGAAGACACTCTAGTATTATTGTACTATATTTTTCATAGGACTTAACAATTTCAGTAGTATTCCTTTTACTCACAAAGAATATTTTCCTATCTGTACATTTTATATTATTAACATAAATCCGCAGTTTGTGCTAAAATCATATGCTGAAAACCCAGAGGAGAAAAGTACGAGTGAATACAATATATCTTTTTTGTCAAAAATTTACCCAAAATCTAAGAGATATAGAAAACTTTCAAATTTTAGACCTTCATTTGGTTTGCACATGTGTTGTTAAAATTGTAATACACTGGTTATCATTAATTAAGGAAAAATTGCAAAAATGATGATTACTCAAAAAGTTAAATGTAAAATTTAATGTAATAGGCTCACTGTATACAACAGATGGTAAGGTATAAAATAACATGAAAAAAAAAAAATCCCAGACAGTTATGGTGTTATAGAAATTAGCATATGGATAAAATGAACAAATCAGATGTGTCAGTTTGTTATAGAAAAATTGCCTTTAATATTAAGTATGATCTCCCCTAGAAGCAATACAACACGTACAGTGATGTGCGATGTCAATTATGCAGTCTGTTAGTTCCGTTGGAAGTGAGAGTCATTGCTCTTGCAAAGCATTTGTAAGCTTGGCAAGGATATGAAGAGAAGGATTGAGAGCAGCTTGTATGTCTTCCCAAATGGGCTTGAGGCTTCAGGTCTGGTGATCGAGCTGGCCACTCCATGTGCTGAATTATTTGCTGCGAAGATGAACGATGCGAACCTTGTGCAGTATAACTATAGTCACCTGTATCAGGAAATTATCACCCATTGCTCCGACATAAAGGTGCACATAAGCTTCAAGGATGTCATCTCTATAAGCCTAAGCATTCGTGGTTCCACTTAGAAAGACATGGAGGCCCAAAGAGATACAATCCCAAACACAGACATTGCTCCCTCAGTATGCATCTCTTTCATGGATGTTTGATGGATGATAACAGGTTCCAGGTTCTCTCTAAATAAGATAACATGTACTATCACTTTGAAGGCTAAACCTGGGATTATCCATAAAGAGAACAGCTCTCCATTGATCAACTGTCCAGTGGGCATGCCCACCTCAAACGTTCCCTTCTATGGCATGACATGAGCAACTCACAAATGGTTAGTCGCCTCGCTAACATTGACACCAACCGTCCAGTGGCTGCAGCAAAGGATCTGAGTTGAAGTTGAGGTTCTATTCTTTTGCACTCATGACAACAAATATCGGTCATCAGCACTCATTGTAGCTGTTGGCTGTCCTTGACTGAACCTCCTGGATGCCAAATTCGTGGTTATAAATTGTTACCAAAATCTATGAACCCCAGAAGGATTACACATTTAGCCTCACATTTAGCCATCTGACCACTTCTTTGTCCTGCCTATAGTCTCCCAATAGCTTTCCATCATAGTTCTTCAGGCAGATGATGCCTCATTGTTACAAATTGGCTATCCCAGATTTCTTACCTCATTATCACAGTGAAATTTGGAGACTTGCTCTGAAACATGCAATGTTATGTTCCCCACAGGTAACGTATTTTGATTACAACACCATTAATTTGCATACTGCAGTTTTACTCAGCAATTCTTATTTAACGACATATTCAAATTTTTTACAGATTGGTTTATTTTTGCAATTTTTCCTTAATTTTTAGAAATCAGTGTGTTAGTCTCACTGTGTTAGAATTTAAATGTATTGCTGGTTTTAAAAGTTTTTCCTCATTTTTAAGTTATGGGTTGTAATCAGAATTCATATGATCCTTAGTAGGGAAAAGGTAGAAAGTCCTTAGTAGTAGTAGAAAAGAGTATCTGGTCCATAAAAGTCCTTAACTTCAGTTGAAATTGGCAAGGGTTCTTAATTTTGCTCATCTGACATATCTGTTTTTTTTATGCTAATTTAACATGTGAATTAACATTTTGGGAGAATATTTTCTGCCGATTCAGTGACAGATACGTGTTTGGTGGGTTATTGTTTGAATTTGTTCCTTTCTTCCAATATAAATGGTATTGAGTCCTTACCATGGTCAAAACATAAACATTTTGAAATTATTTCTTTTTTTGCTAATGAAGAGTTCATAAAACTGACATCAAAAACAAGTTTCTCCTTTTGGGAATATGAATTTGTTTGTTAAACTAAACTCTGCAGAAACCAATAAAAGACAACAAAATTGGTGAAACAATCCATTCTAGCTCAAACTGGTAAAGCAGATGATCCATTTGCAAAAGCTGTTGTACTTTTATTTTGTTTAAACTTGGTTCCAGCATGTCAACCTAAGTATTTTATCTTATTTTCAACTTCATTTTAACTGTGTGTGCCAATTAATTTTTTTAAGCGCTTATAGTTTTTTTATTAGTCTCGGTCCTAGTATTTTTTATTACGTCTTTTGTACTTTTATTACTGGATAAAAAGTTTTTGTAGGACAATGAACATATTCAATAAGTGATTTTTTATATTTATCACATCCTAAACTGTTAGGTATTATTATTTAGGAATAAGTATAGGGTCATTGTTCTTCATAACAAATTTAGTAATAAGAACTACCAGGCATCATTTTCTGTCATAGACAGGAAGTTTTTGTCTTACAGCTGTCTTTTAATATCCATATTAAGAAAAATAATTTCTCTTAATTTACGCAAAGTGGCAGTGCATTTTAAGGTATGTCAGCTAGTTTTATATTTAGCAGGAACAAATATACTACAGTTGTTGACACTCAAAATTTGCATCCGTTAGTTATCAGTGTATTAAAATGCCAAACAAAGATTTAATTTTCAAAGCAAATTTTGGAATATTAATGGATTTTAAGAGACAGTGGTTTTGGAAACTCCTTTCTACTGTGGATAAAATTTACTAGGAGTAAATATTGTTGCCAATAAATAATCACCAAGGCTGTTGACTGTTGAAATATGCATTGGGTATTTTATTAAAACATTTATGTAAAAGTAAAATTTCATTGATTAAAATTCAAGTTACCATGCTTATGTATAAAGTAATGTCTGCAAAATGCTGTTTTATGTTACCAGAATTAATGTCATACCTTATAATCACCATTGCAGTGTATATGAAAATTTAATGAAATGCATAATTCTAAGGAACAAGTGTAAAGTTTAAATGCAAACCCAGTGATATATAATTTCAAATTTCAGCAAAGCATTCAAATGCAAGTGAGTATTCTGTGCCTCTTTCAAGACAGACTTCATCTGATAGCTCTAGTCGTGGCTTAGTGAGGTCTCATTCTTCTCCCAACATTGCTCAAATGGTTAATCAAGAAGAAAATATACAGCGAAAAATTCCAGTAATTGATAGGAGCTTGAAACCGAAGTAAGTAAGATTGGTAATATTATATGAAAGTTTTAAAAATAATTCATTTTTATAGTTCATTTCAGTGCTCAAATAACTCGTAGCATCAGCTCAGACAACTCATAAAGTGAGTTTATCATGTTAGAAAGAAAAACTGAAATTATCCCTTAAAGATGTTTTTGACACCAAAAAAAGGCAGTGAAAATTGAATTGTTTTTCCATGAAACTGAAATTGTTTTTTCTGTGATGATTTTTTCTGATAGAAACAGCAGTTTTTAGTTTTTTAAATCAAGTGAATCTTTGTTAGTTGTATATTGTAAGGTAAAAGCTTCTTTAGCTAATGTAAAAAAGTTTTCATGTTCTTATGCTTGTAAAATTCTTGAATGTAATTATGATCAGATAATGCTAAGTTGGATTTGCTAGTTTGTATCTGAAACGTCATATTACCATGGGCACCCTTAAGCAAAGGAAATTTTATCAAACTTCTACTGTACAATTATTTTGTTATTTAATTTCTAAAGCAGTGTATAAAATAAAAAAAGATTCTTGTGAATCTTTGGGAACTTCATTGATTCTGCAAATAGCTGATGAGTTTTTGTTTAATAATAATAATCTTTCACTGTTGGTCATGTGAGATTGTGTTGATAGTTATGCTGACACAGAATTAGATTGTACCCACGCGCCAATTTATGATAAGACACATGATTTAAAAGAGGTAATAAAAGGTGATTATATGTATCACACTGATTGCTAAGCCTTTAAGCATAAAATTTTATGACTGTGTGCTGGTGCAGGGCATTTGATAATGAATCAAAGTAAGTGACAGTATGCATGGTTTATATATGAAACTCTGTCATGAAAAAATATGTATATTACAAATTAGTTACAATGATATTATTGCAAGCTATGTAATTCAGAATGTTAATCATGTATTATATTTGTATATTCTAAAGGGTAGTCAGGAAACCCTTCACAAACTTTGCAGATATGGATGGTAACTTTACATTTTCCTTGGGAATAACAACTTTTGCATTCATTTCATAGTACCTTCCCTCCTTTCTTTACTTCTTGCAGTTTGAAGACATGTTCCAATTCAGATAAATCACAGACAGAAGCACAAAGGTTAAATGGCTGTTTTCAATAAACATCTTTTACTGATAAATGTTATTAAGTGACATGTTTCCATTGCAATATTTGTTATAAAGTGGGAATTCATTATTATTTTATTCAAAATATGCAAAAATATTTTAGTAGACAACCTATTTTCCTTTCATATGAATAATAGGCAAGCATTTAATCTTGCATATCAATGCTTGCATAAATTCATTATATTGAATTACAGTAAATGGTTTTGATTTCATTTCACCTTTTTCTTGTCATTTCTACAACATCATTTGTGTATTCATTAGATATGTGATGTCTTTTTTATCCTTCCGCATAGCAATCATTACACCGCTAGCATACTTTACTATAATTTACTCTTTCTTTAGTTCCCCCCAACTTCTTTCCAAAATATCTTTCTTTTTGTTCTGATTATCCCAATATAATTCAGTTTTCTATCAACAAGATGCACATGCTCATAACTGTTATAAAAAGTGTCCTATATCTGAAATATGAGCTTTTTTTTTTTTTTTTTTTGGTGTGTGTGTGTGTGTGTGTGTGTGTGAAGAAATAATTCTTTAACTCTGTCACCTTTCTTAACATTGTCATAACTAAAATCACTCAGGTAATCATCTGATATCTCAGCCAACAAATTTGCAATTTCTTCAGCTGCTGGAGACTCTATGTTTTGCACTTTTCTTTTGATGTGAAGGGCTTGCAGAACAGTCAACATTCAGGACAGCTAGAGTATGCCTAGACAATGGGAAATCACATAGCAATGCATGGTTGGAAACGCAAACGCTTTCCTGGCGCAGTAGCGAGGAAACAAAAGTCAAGAGAAAAGGACACGAACGGGATAAGAAAGCATGTTTTTTATTCAGAGTACAACAAAAACAAAGAAAAAACAACATAAAATGACAACGATGATCATCAAAGGTGTTCGAAATAACAACCTGGACCATGATGCAGGAACCGTGCATCATGCATCTTCCATACGCCAAAGAAGTGAGGCGTGCATCATGGCCCAGGATCATAATTTCAAACACTTTCTTTAATGACAATCATTGTTTGTTTTTGTTCTCATTGGTTTCTGCTGTGTTAAACATAATACAACATGTTTTGTATCGCTGTTTGGGTCATTCCTCTTTTGCGTTTTGTATCGCTGTTTATGTCCTTCCTCTTTTGCATTTTGTATTATCACTACTGTGCCAGGAAAGTGTTCCGACCATGCATTGCTATGTGATTTCCCAACGTCTAGATGTACTGTGTCTCTCCTGAAAGTTTGCCACTGCTGTACTGATACACCCTGTATATTTACAACTAATTTATAACCTTCACTCCATGCCAGTGCTATGCCATATTATATTGGCTTATACTCAGAACATAATACTAATTGAATGGGAAAAGGAGTAATAAAACATACCTTTTCCCCCCGCCAGCACATAATTGGCTCTTCAGCAATAAAGCCATATTAATGCGAGCGAATGTATTTAAAATTTATCTGGTTCAAAAATCTTAAAAAAAGGAAATGTAAGGCAACATATTTCTTTCAAATTTAATCTTACCCTTGTAGTGGCCCAGTTAGTGCATGAGAAATAATTATTTTTTATTTCATATATTGTTCATGTGTTTAATTATTTTATAAAATTAACTTTAATATTTGTTAATATTCATATTATATTTCTTTTATGCTGAACGGCAATAAGTACAGTCAAAAGTCGTTAATTCGGACACCCATAATCCGGAATGATCTATAATCCGGACCTCGGAAGAATAATCCGGAAGTTAAAAACTTTCTGCGCATGCGCCGCGTTGACACATGCGCATAGGCGTTTACGCGATGGCGCGTAAGACCTCTTACGACTGCGCATTTGCGTGTGCGCAAGCGCAGAATACGTTTTTGCGTGCGCGTTTTATGTATAACGGACGGTATAATCTAAAATTATCTAATTATCTATTTCAGTTAATGTTGATGATTGCGTTGTTCTTCGAATTGGATCCAGCTTATTATTTTTTGCAGACTGTAAGAGCAATTTTATAAAAGTAAACTTGAACTTTCGATTATATCAAATAGAATTTCCGAATCTGGAGCTCTCAAAGGCTCGTACAAAACGAAAGTACGTTTCGATGTTCATCAAACAAAAAGTGAAATTGCTGCAAAAAATGGATAAAGACATGAAGAATGTGACAGAGAGGTTAGTGAAAACGAAAAAATTTCGATTGACAATTTAGTCGGTATTCTCGGCACAGCAATTAACGGGACTTGAACAGCGGAACTTTGTAAATGAACAAAAAATTATGTCTGTTTATAGAATTAAAGAGAAAGTATTATCACATAAAACGAAGCAACTTAAACAAACTTACATTGAAAGAAATGTTTAATAAAGTAAACAAATAAATATTAAGTTTTTTTTTTTGTAAATTTTGATACCTTTTAGATCATAATTGTTCTTTATTTCATAAATTATGGTTTCATATTTTTAATTTTAGAATTTCTGCATGCCATCTTACGCGATTTAAACTGATGATCTATAATCCGGAATCGCCGAAGTCCCGATGAGTCCGGATTAACGACTTTTGACTGTAGTTCATATTTATATTTAAATTTCTTTATGCTGAATGGCAACTAGTTCTAGTTCTGATTCATGATTGCGAGGTTTTGGTTTCAAAACGTTGCTCGTAGCGTCGCATTTCGATAGCTGGAAAATAAAATGCAATAACTTAGCTATTTGTTTATAATTCATGCTGTTACTAGTCATAAATTAATTTTAAACATTAGTAGCCAAGGCTACATCGTGGTGACCCTGATTAATTTTCGAAATGTCAACAAATGACTCTTCTGAAACTGCTATGAAAGATACGATACAGTCACCGGAGCTTCATAAGGTGAGTGTAAAAATACCTCCTTTTTGGATTGATAAACCGGAAATATGGTTTTTTCAAGTTGAAGCTCAGTTCAAACTTAGAAATATCGTTTCAGAAGAAACGAAATTTAATTATTTAGTTTCACAGCTTGAACCTAAGTTCGTCGAAAATATTTGGGACATTGTAACGAACGATAGTGCCACAAAATATTCGGATGCTAAAATTAGGTTATTACATTTATTCAAAGAAAGTGAAAATGTACGGATTAAACGTTTGATTACTGGTATCGAACTTGGAGACATGAAACCAAGCCAACGTTTGCAGAAGTTGAGATCAGTTGCTACTACAGATGTGTCTGAAAATCTAATCAAAACTTTATGGCTGGAGAAGCTACCTGACTCCATAAAAAATATATTATTAGTTAGTGATGAAGATGTAACCAAGTTAGCGTCTATGGCAGATAAAATTAGTGATATGAATCGGAAACCAGAAGTATTTAGTACTAATGCTCCTTCTGTTCCCGCAAATGATTTGTTGCAAAGAATTACCTTTCTTGAACAAAAAATTGATCAAAGTAACCATTCGCTCAAGACGAAGGGACTCGGATTTACGTAATTCACGTTCACGATCTCGAAGCCAACCTCGTAAACGATATGACCCTACTGGCAAATTTTGTTTTTATCACTTTCGTTTTGGAGCAAAATGCATTTCAGAGAAATGCAAGCCTCCGTGTGCTTGGGTAAAAAACGATTTCAAAAACCAGGAAAACTCGAATCTGCAGTAGGTTCAGCGGCAAACGCTGCTGCAGAAAATATGAAGGATTGTCGCAAATTTCGTTTATTCGTTCGTGACCGAAGATCAAATTTGCACTTTCTTATTGATAGCGGAGCTGACGTAAGCATAATTCCTGCTACTTCACAGAATAAATGTAAAACTGAATATAAACTGTATGCAGCTAATGGCACAGATATTTCCACTTATGGCATAAAAACGCTAACTCTTGATTTGGGATTACGTCGTGATTTTCAGTTTCCATTCATAATTGCTGATGTCAC